GAATTTTTGAATTTTGAATATTTTTTAATCAGGAGAACGTCCTCTTTCGATCATGCAAAGTATATGCGCAAATTTTGTTGATAAYTAATATAACCTGTGTAAAAACGTTGATCAACTACAGTGGTGAATTTGCCGACAAAGCGTCTGTACTTTTTCATTRCGTTTAATTTTATGAAATAAAATAATAGTGAATTTTGGAAACAGTAGAGGAAAATGTTTTATGAAATGTTAAAGATTTATACAGTGTACTACGATTGTCAAACAAATKGGTATAAAAAAGGCAGACTTTGAAAAATTTTTGTTGGTTTGCTCAATAATAAAATGAATTTTGGTCTCCCAAATTATGGTTTTCATTCGATCACAAATCTAGCTAGGTTGAGTTTTAATTGTATCCAATTTAAAAAATCTGTTTGAGGCAAACAGGGGAGCACTTTAGAAGGCGATAACTCAAAAAATATTCGAAATATTTATTTCAAACTACAGAACGTTTTTTTTAAGAATTTGTTATATTTGTGTATTTCTAAATATGATAATTTAATTTAATTTATTATGATATTTTATACAATGAATGAAAATAACGCGTAAAGACAATCCTGGGTAGAAAGGTCATTTTGTTCGTTGTATGGGGATTAGGAAAATATAAATTTAAGTAGGTAAGCAGGTTACAAGGAAACTATCCAAATTTATTATTCAAAAGTCATCAAATTACTTATTTCTGTCGTCCAGTTAATTTTAGTTGCATTATGTGCACATAAAAATAAATTAATAATGAAACAAGTATGGAAATATTATATATTCAGCTGTTGGCAAAACTTTATATTATAGAAGTAAGGAGGGACTAAGATCGGGGGTAATCAAAAATTTCATACTCTCGCAACTTGCGAGGATTGAAGCCGGGGAAAACCCATTCTTTACTTTATTTTAATCAATTAAGCAAATACTTTCAGATGTTGCAGAACTTTATAATAAAAATTGTTACATAAGAATTGAATATTACAATAAAATTGATATCTTAATCACAAACATACATA